GGTGAAGGGGGAGGGGGAGGGGGATTGGCACGCAAAAGCGGGTGCATGGGTGCATGGTGCACGCATGGCGTGCCGTTAGCAATGACATGTGATCGCTTGCTAGAGCTTGCTCATCCAGGCAGAACTGCGGCGAAAGACTGGGGAAGGCTGCGCAGGTTAATCCCCGGCGGTTGATCCAGCCAGCAGGTGAGTCGCACCCGATGTGACTCACCCGCCAGCTTTTCCGCGGCGCCCTCGTTGCCGTACACTGCGGCGGCCTTCAGGAGCACCTGATGCATGAAACCAAAAGGGCAAAAGGCGGCCCGACTCAGGCCTGATTGAGCTCGTGTCGAGAAAAACTGGCAAAGGCACAGACGGACGCCACCGTCCTGGCGGGCAGCGCAAGACCCACCTCGCGCGGCGCCTCGCCATCCTTTGCGAGGTTGACCAGGATGCTGAACTCGCGGGGATACTTGGCGGCCTCGGCCGGAGTCGCACTCTTGATGCGCGGCATTTTACCTACCGAGCGTCGGTGGGTTGGGATCTGGATCGGGGCAACACTAGTTTGCCGGTGCTTCCAAAAGGAAGCAGTACCAATAACAATGCTGCAGGATAATGTGTATTTTCGCCCAGTTTCCGGTTTAAATGGCAAGGCTCCAGCCCCATGTGAGAGTGATTACTTGTGTTGTCGTCACCATTTGGTCCGTGGGAGCATCTAGGCGTGCCATGCGTTTCAAAATGCTCGAATTACAACACATCAAATTCTTACTTGGCCCCGGTAGCCGGCAAGCGCAATGCGAGCGAGCTGCAATCGGGAATAGGCAGAGCGCAAAACAGAGGGGAACTGTACTCAAGGGGGTGCAAATCAGCACAAATGTCTGGGTACATTTATTGTCTCTATATGCTAGAAGCTCTGCTGAACAATGCATGCCGTCTTTGCGGCGGCTTGCGGCTCGGTTTGACCTGGTCTACAATGTGCTTTATCATAGAGCCTACGAAGTATGAGTGCTGCGTCACTTTGCGCGCACCGCTGACCTTGCTGCGCCTGCCCGCGTTTCTGCGGGGCCAGGGTCCCCTTGCCTCAAACCTGCCCGCAGGTTGGCTGCCATCTCTAGCCCCGTCAACGAACCTGCCCGTCCCCGCCGCCGCTGCCGCCTGCGCTGCAGAAACCATCTCAACTCTCTTTTGTTGCAACCAGCATACGCAATAGCAGCACACGGTCATTATAGTACAAGAAGTTTGCAAAGCCTGCGTGCTAATGTGCGAGCGCTGAGGGCAGTGTGATATCGAACGTAGCAATAAAGCGCACGCCAGCATGAATATCCACTGCAGCGAGGATGAGAGCATGGACCAATGCCCCAGGGGAAACCACTGGCAATGCAATTATTCTGATTTGGGGTTGATTCAATACCAGCCAGCAAGCGACTGTGGGTGCTCCCTTCGCCCACCGGCCGCTTTTGCTGTCTAGTAGTGTGCTCAGCTCATGCGCTCGCTGTGGCGTGACGTACATGGCCGCCGCACTGTGACCCTCGCCTGCCCCACTTGTGCTTACTTTGGAGCCCTACACACACGACAGGGAGTGGAGCTGGAGTGCCAACCACTGCATGCTTGGCGCCCTCAGATTCTGTTGCTTCCAATCGGCACGACCCCGCGCTCAGCGCGTCGGCCATCCGGCAGGTGTCGGGCTGTGCTGTGTGTTTTGTTAACCACTTTCAAAGTCCATGGGCACAGTTCACCTGCTGTACCCTGATTTTCCCCTGGTGTTGGCCATCACAGCCAGGGCTGATGACAGCTCTGCGATGGTGGAACTGTGCTGTGTATCATGGCCACAGTACCTCATGGCCGGCCGACCTTGTGAGCAAGTGTGCGACTCTTGATGGACATCCCAAAGGCGTCTGAATCGCGCGTTATGGGTGATTGTGCCCATTTGCTGCCCTCTTCACCGACACGAGACACGGGGCTCAGATCACGTCATATCTCGTTACAGCAAATTGGCGCGTTGGTAGAGGTTGTTAACCGCGTGATTATGCATCTTGAAATCAGAAAACTGATTTCGTACTGAGCACAGTGACAGCACGCATCAGCACAGATCCCCGGCCTGCTCTGCAGCAGCCTTATTTGCGCACTGCACGCATCAGCCAATTTTGGTGTTGCTGAAATTGGCAGGGCTGCCAGCTGCAAAGCAATCCATGCTGCGGGCCACCACAGTCCCGGCGCCCACACTGCTCCGCGCGATGCCCGCCACCTCAGCTCAGGTGATGCAGGCAGTTGTCATGCAGGCTGCTGCTTTCTTGGCAGTGTCTTGGCAAGCCGATCGACAGGTGAAAAGAAAACTTTCAAACAGGTGACCGTGCCGGCCCCTAGCAAGCTGAGCTCTTGCTCCTACGTTGCTGTGGGGCACCCCTATCTCACAGACCTCACAGGCTGCCTTCGGGATCAGGGCCCGCCCTGTGCTGGCTTGGCCCAGGCCGCACCTGTCCAACGGCCCCAAGACCCGCTGCCACCCTGATCGCCAGGCGCGCAAGGCGGACCCCAGCCGCGGCGCGGCCCCCGACCCCGAATCGGCACCCGCACCACCCCCTCCTCCGCCGCCCGCAAACCGCGACGACCGCTGGAACGGCGGCAATGGCGGCGGCAGCGGCGGCGGCGGCGGCGGCGGCGGCGGCGGCGGCGGCGGCGGCGGGGACGGCGGCCGTGACGGCCCTGGGGGTGCCGACGATACCGCTGACGTCATCATCGCTTGGCTAAGGACGCTGCGGGACGAGCTGCGCCAATTCAAGGATTACCACGGAGAGTGGAGCTCCTGCATCTTTGTCACGGCTTTCCTTGGGACCGGTTGCGGCGTCGCCGGCCTGTTCAACATACTGAACCCCCCCTGCAGCACCATCTGCACGGACCGCGACCCGAAGCTGAGGGCCAAGCTGGCGGCCCTCGTGAAGTCCGAGGTTGGCGCACTGAGGGATGAGGTTGTCGCACTGAGGGATGAGGCGCGCGAGGCCCAGGCGGCGCGCGCCTCGGAGGCGGCGGAGACGCGGCGCCGGCTGGGGGAGCTGGACGGGGCCGTGGCGGGGGTGATGGCTGCGGGAGTGGCACGTCATGCCAACGCCCAGCCCAAAGGCCCGCCGCCCTCTGCCCCCGCTGGTGCGGCGCGACTGATGGCGGGACGGCGCGGCGGCGCGGCGGCGCGGCAGCGGGGGGACTGCGGCTGCTGCGGCATTGGGAGCCGTTCTTGGATTGCTTACAGAATTTTAAGGAGGGGATTGTGAGCGCAAGCAGATGGGCAGGCCGGCATTGCTGCAGCCATGATGCTGTGGTGCGTGTGCTTCACCCAGGATGCGGCTGGTTGTGAGGGACATGCCCAGCCAGGTCGGCTGGAAGTTGAACATAGTCAGCTTGGTCAATCAAGCAACTCACACACGGCGAGCCTTGTGGCTCCTCAGAGATGCACGGATGCAATCAGCAATATTGCTTGCCGCACCCACTGCAGGCATTGTGCCACTTTTGGCAGGACACTGCACTGTATCATTGGAACAATCAGGGGCAAAAGAGACGTTTTAATATCAATAATGCTCGCAGGTCTGTATCGAAGTATCAGCGCCGCGTGCCGCCATATGTACCTAAAGAGCCCTCTCATCATCGCCCGCGGCTCATCCCACGCCGCCGACCTCGTCCTCGCGCCCCACCAGCGCCTCGGGGTCCCGCGCCGTCAGCAGCGCCGCCAGCCGCGCCCCAAGCGCGCCGCCCAGCCGCCGCGCCGCGCCGCTGGGCCGCGCGTCCCGCAGCTCGCTGACTAGGCGCGCGGGGTCGCGGCCCGCGGCCTGCTCGCGCAGGAAGCCCTGGGTCAGCGCCCCCAGGCCGCCAAACTCGCGGCAGATGGCCTGAGCGGGGGTTGGGGTAGTGGGATGCGCGGGTCAGGATGGGGTCTGGTCCAGAGCCTGCCGGCCGGCGCCTGCCTGATTGGGTCCGATGAGTCACAACCCGGCCTCACCTCCGGTCAGAAGCGCTGCTTTGCATTTGAGAGGGGTCGCAGCCGCACTATTGCCCACAAAGCAGCTGGCGGGTCTTGTGGGTCGCTGGCCGCCGACCAAGCCCCCGAGCACCAAAAGCAGCCCACACGCACACTCACCCATGCCTGGCCGCCGCCCACGCCCTGCACGCGCCCCAGGCACCGCGCCAGCTTGCGCGCGCCCGGCCCCAGGTCCCCCATGCCCGTCGCCGCCGCCGCGCTGACCGACCCGCCGGCGCCGCCCGCGCCGAGCGCATCGTCCCTGTCCACCCGCTTATACGGCTGCTCCCCCAGCGCCCGCACCAGCGACAGCACGTGCCGCGCCGCCTCCTCTGCGTTGGCCACCTTGCGCAGCTGCAGCGCCGGGCAGGACAGCTGCAGCCGCAGCACCGCAGCGTGCACATCCGCCGCCACGAACGCCGCCGTGCCGGCCTGGAAGTCGCGCCGCTCCTGCGCCCGCAGGTGCGCGTCGAGGCCGACCACGAGCGCCTGCAGGCTGCGGCCGGGGTGCAGCGCGGCCGCGCGGCGCAGCAGCGCGCGCAGGGGGCCGCCGGGGGCGCGCAGCTGGGCGACAAAGGCGGCGGGCTGGTGGAAGATCAGCAAGATGCAGGGCACAGGGGCCGACTCCTGGAAGGGCTCCTTGAGCTCGGTCGACGCCGGCTGGGGCCGAGTTGCAATTGCATGCGCCGAGGGGAGGGGCCGGGGAGGATGGTTGGGGGGTTGAGGTTGTGGGGTTGAGCGGCGGCGGAGGCAGCGCTTGTGGCCAAAGGCAGGCCGTTGAGGGGCGTTTGTGCTTGTGCGGCTGGGCAGCGAGCGGCCAGAGGCGTGGCAGCGCGCATGTGGGGCGGCCTGCGAACGTCGCATGCTTGCCAGCGTGCGCCTGCTGCCTGCGC